TCTTTCTTTCTTTCTTTCTTTCTTTCTTTCTTTCTTTCTTTCTTTCTTTCTTTCTTTCTTTCTTTCTTTCTTTCTCATTCCCTCTCTTTTCTCTCTTTCTCTCTTTCCCTCTATCTTTCTTTCTGTCCCTTCCTTCCATCTCCCCTCTTTCTTTGTCTATCCCTTTTCTTTCTTTCTCTTCCTTTTTCTCTCTCTTTTCTTTCTTTACTTTCTTGTCTGTTCCTTCTCTCTTTCTCTCTCTTTTCCTCTCTCTCTCTCTCTCTCTCTTTCCCTCTCTCTTTTCTCTCTCTCTCTTTCTCTCATTCCCTCTCTCTCATTCCCTCTTTCTCTTTCCCTTCCTTAACCTATCTACCTATTTTCTGCCCAGACAGGCATGGCCTAATCTGTCAAAGGCCTGGGTTAATCCTGCATCACCCCACTTCCTGTTTCAGAGACTCCAGCCCTTAATCTCCCCATTTCCTCCCCCATGACCGCCTCTTTCGTCATCCCATGGCTGTGACTTTACCTTCTTCCCGCGGCTGGCTGCCAGGGAAGGCAAGCCAGGGCTGAGCCATTGTTGACAAGGGCTCCCCGCCAGCCCACGTCGCCTTTGTCATGAATGCCTGCAGCCACTATGTGGTTTTTTTTGGTGCGGCTGGACTGCAGCCGCACCGAAAAAAACACACGGTGGCTGGAGTTTTTTTCAGTGAAAATTACCAACCTCTGGCTTTTCCCTGCTTCTCCAATGCACCGCTGCAGCTACATTCTAGGTTTTGGCCTCGCAGGTCCACCCCATTGAGCCCGCTGCACTGGAGGGACTTGCCCACGGAAGTCTGAGCAGAGTGCTGCAGCAGTCAAGGGGTGAGCCTGCATGGCCAGTGCCTGGAATGCAGTGGCGGTGGCGCATTGGAGAAGCAGAACAAAGCCAGAGATTGGTAATATTTGCTGCAAAAGACCTCTAGTCGCCGTATGTCTTTTTCAGTGCAGCTGGACTGCAGCTGCACCAAAAAACCCATATGGCATCTGGATGCTTTTTGCAGCGAAAATTAACTACCTCTGACTTTGCTTGCTCCGCTTCTCCAACATGCTGCTGTGACCGTCAGCGATTGTTGCACAAGAATGCGATGTCACACATGCGCAAAAAGGACTGACTGGGCAGGGAACTGAGGAGCGGGGGTAGAGGAGCAGGACCAGCCAGGGGCCCATTTTACAAGTTCTCCGAACTACCTGGAATGATAATGAACCGGTAGAATCCCACCCCTGAATTTTGCCCTGCAAGGGGCCCACCTCCAGCACCCCCTGCCACCTCTTAGCACCACCCTGTCGGCCCCCTTGCCTCTTAGTGCCCCCCTAAGGCATCCACTTTGGGAACCACTGATCTATACTAATGGTCCCTACCTAGGCAGAGTGTCTTTGAAAACTGATAATCCAAAAGGAGACATGATTAATGCCACCTGCATGTCCCAACTATGCAATATTTGTACCTAAAGGGAGAACATGATGCCAAAAATGTTTAGTTACTTAGATAGCAATGCTCAACGTCTGTGGGAGAAGAGGAAATTGTCATTTGGCCAGGGACAGTATGCAAAGTAAGAAATACTGAGTTGATGTGGATACAATTGACTCATAGCATCAATTTATTTGTGATTCTCTAATAATATGTGGGGATGACTTAGGAGACAGGAGGGAAAGCCACAGATGGGATAAGTCAGCACTACTATTACTCTTTATCTTCTCATCACTTCTTATCACCCATCCCCTCCCACTTGTGACTGTATGAATGTAACTTTGTCGTTTGTATCCTTATGATCTATACTGACTGTTTCCTAGTATGATTTGATTGCTTATTGTACCCTATGACTATCATTAAGTGTTGTGCCTTATGATTCTTGACAAATGTATCTTTTCTTTTATGTACACTGAGAGCATTTGCATCAAGACAAATTCTTTGTGCGTCCAATCACACTTGACCAATAAAATAATTCTAATAATGTCAAGCAAAAGATGTCTTCACCCACCTAAGGAGGGGGGGAGATGAGAAATCTATCAGAAGGTACCCTCTCTAGTTTTCCAGAGAGGAAGAGGAAGAGGAAGAGGAAGAGGGAGAGGGAGAGGGAGAGGGAGAGGGAGAGGGAGAGAGAGAGAGAGAGAGAGAGAGGGAGCTGGCATTTGTTGTGGCACTTCTTGTCTAGACTATCCCAAAGAGCTAACAGACCCTAGTGAACATTTGATTGTCTGTTGCTTCAAAGTTACACTTTCCAATTTAAAAGGGGGCAAAAAATCCTGGACAACATGGCATTTTAAGCACTTTATGCAACCACCTGGGTGCCTTACTGGCTAAATGGATAATCTAAGATCAGAACAAAAATCAACCTAAAGTATAAACAAATAGCTGCCATATGGGCAGAAATTGATTTTTAGATCAGAGGGTCAATGAAAGGAAGCAGAGAATGAAGTAAGCACCCCTGTGATGATCTGGATTGTAGTAGTTGTTTTTTAACTGGCAAAGTGCCTTATTTATTTTTGTTTATCTGTCTCAAAGCACCATTTTAAAAAAGCATGTTGTTGATAGAGAAGATTGTCTGCAGCTGAATTGAAGATATCAGAACCACATGGATTGTTACCAAAGTGTTGAGGGAAGGTAGAGATAGGAGGATATCCATATTTAGGGCTTCTTGAGAGCGTTTGTTGAAATGGAAGTAAAAAAAATTCAAATCATTTTATTTCATCTAACAAAGGTAGAGGAGAGTCATTTCCCATCATACTGAAAAATAATACGGATAAAAGATTTTTGTAAAAGCGCAGGAAGTCAATCTCTGGGGCTTCTATTTATTTGCCCTACCTCCTGGTGCCCATCTTGCCATTCCTTTTGTCATCCAGCTGCAAATTGAATGATAGTAAATTCTACGCATTCCTTTCCTGGAATGCACCTCTTAGTTTTTATTGCCAGTGCAACAAAGGGGTTTGTTTATATGAAGAGCTGCCCCAAGAGGGTAACTTGCTCTGGTTGAATTTTATTTTAATGTGGGTTAATCCTAAAGGCTTAAATGAATTAAGCATTCTCTTTGATTGACCAGGAGGTTTTAGCAAGCCAATTTCACCTTGACCAAAGATGACCTTCACAGTTGTCTCAGATGGCTAAATATTTGTATTCACTCTTACTGAATCACAGCCATTTTTTTCCCAGCAACAGCTCTCTAATATTAGTGTTGTACATCTTCTAATGTCCAGTACAGTAGCAAAATTCCCATAAAGCGTCCAGGGTTGTCAAACCTGATTTCATTCAGGGCCTCATCAGGGTTGTGTTTGATCTGGGGGCCTGAAGGGGCATGGCCAGGGAGTGTGGAAAGCTTGTGTGGCCTCCCCAAGCTCTGTTTTCACTGGCAGAGGGCTACAGGAGGCCGTCATGGCCAAAAATGGAGCCCATGAGGGCCGTGTGCTCTGTTTTCGCTGGCAGAGGCACTGTGGGCTGGTCCTTCATTGTTTCAGGATGGCCCTGCAGGCCAGATTAAGCACCCTGTGGGCCAGATTCAGCCCACGGGCCTTGAGTTTGACACCCCTGTTCTAGTCCAACCTTCTGCTTAAGCAGGAGACCCTACACCATTTCAGACAAATGGCTGTCCAATCTCTTTTTAAAAAATCCAATGATTTTTGAAAGCAAGTGGTTCCATTGATTGCTCATTTTCTCTATCAGGAAATATTTCCTTAATTCTAGATTGGTTTTCTCCTTAATTCCCCCTTGATGGTTTCCATCCATTGCTTCTTATCCTGCCTTCATGTATATATACACACATGCACAAAGAAACTCAAAATTTTGTCTTACATCATATTTCATGTTTTACATCACCTTTTTTTTCCACAGGAAAGGAAAAACTGAGAATTTCAATTTTACCAATCAGGAGCTCATGGTTTTTCTAATATTTGAAAACCATGCTCTTTAAAATTAATCAATTTTAATAAATTTTACTCTGGTCATTTCACATGATTATATACCATTCAGATATTTAGATTTACAACAGAAATTGAAGAGGGGGCGCTGATTTTTTTTTTAAATTAATACCTTATGGAAGCTGTGTGTGATGACATTCACTTCAATTACAGACTCAGTTCTTCTAATACTTTCATATAGAACATCTCCATGGATACAGTTGCCTAGAAGAAGTTAGCATGAATGACCATGTTCAGCCTGATGAGTAACAAGTGTGCTAACATGCTAACATGTTTGTTTTGGAGAAGTGGCAGATATCATTTTAGTCATGTTTGATGTTACTTTCTGATCCAAAGCTGAGTTTTTCTGAAGGCCAGCTATTGATCAGCAGTCAAAGGAAGTCTCATACTTTCCAAAGGTTGCTCATCATTACAATGGGGATTTTCCTATGAGGCAAATATCTTTGCCAACTCCCCCATTAAAAATAGATGTCCATATTTTAATGTCCACATTAAAATAACCGTCTCCTTGTTTCACAGGGTTTTATTTAACTCTTCCTCTAATACAACTGACAAAATAATCTCAGCATTCTAAAAAGATCTTCACACTGATTCAAGGAGCATGTTCTGCACATTACATTGGGGGGATAGGAAATTTAGAGTTTAATGTTGTAAACCACACAAGTTATTGTGCATGAATTGGCAACCATATAAATTTGCTTAATAAATAAATAACCGAGTGACATGTACGGTACCTAAATTTGATCAATAAATAATTTAAAAATGATCCTGGCTATGTTTGCAGTTAAAAAAAAAAACTCTTCAGAGGACCCTGTTATCCTGTTTTCCCCCCATATAGACTGCATTTCATACTGCTACTATTTTGCAGAAATTCAATATGACAGAACTGGAGGTATCATAATCTGGAACTCTTAACTTCAGCAAATGAGTGAGAATAATGGAATGTGCATGTTCCTTATTTAACTATTTCACCATCTTTCCCTCTGCACTGCTAGGCACGCTGTTCAGGATACAGTAGAGGCAACTAACATCTGGGCTGCAGATCTATTAGGGCCATATGCTTTCCTTAGCTTCAGCATCATGCTGTTGATTGGGGAAATACAAACCGAATGGGAATTTTTAGATATTTCAAATGGTCAGAAACAAAGTCACAGAATTCCACATTTCCCCACCCCCAACGTGAAAGACTAGATTGTACCAGTTTCAGATTCAAGACTGCTTATTGCTGAAAATAACTTGTTTCTTATTTTAAAATTCAAATCATCATAATCACCACTCCAAACAGACATATTCCAATGAGATTCTCTTTTGGGGTTGTTGTGCGCTAAATATTTTAATTTTTCTAAATTAAATCCAGGCAGCTTTCTGTGATGGACCAACTTATGAACTGTGCTTTCACTAATACTGTAATAAATTCTAGTTTTGCCTCAGTAGAATTCTATTGGTTTACAGTTGTGAGGTCTAAATGTGCCTTCAGATGGATTTGTAAGGGAACATGCAGCTTATACAAACACTGAAATGCTAGCAAAGGAGCTTAAGGTTGTTGACTGAATACAGTTCCAATTCCTTTACCACTGTGAAATAACAGATAATAACAGATAATCAGAGTTGGAAGGGACCTTGTAGGTCATCTAGCCTAACCCCCTGCCCAAGCAGGAGGTCCTACACCATTTCTGACAGGTGGAAGTCCAATCTCTTCTCGAAAGTCTCAAATGATGGTGCTCCCACAATTTCCGAGGGAAAGCTGTTCCAGTGGTTGATTGTTCTCACTGTGAAATTCTCACAATGAAATCATAATAAAAAATACTGATACTGTTTATATTCTGGCTTTGCAAGCATGGAAGAAATAAAAGAACATTTTGTCTTTTTATAAAATTTAAAAGAAATAGACTAGTTTGGCTTTATAAGAGGTATCTCCAAGTTACATTGCAGAGATTTCTAATGTAACCTGAGAAGTCATCCTATATCCCCTAACATGTGGAAGCTTCATCATACACATATAGCCCTACAAGCTGGGAGCATTGGATAATAGATTATTTTTTACTTGACCAACTTTTATTCACACAAATGGTCTCTACATGAACATGGAAGTTTGTATCTCATGATAATCATGCTGAAATAACAAGTGCCCTCTAGGGATAAACAAATGGTGCACTCGCCGAAACTAATTCTCCTGCAGCAGGGATAGGGTACATAATTCACAGCATCCATTTATGTTTTTCTCACAATATTCCTTTGTTTAGAAATCCTATCCAGAGAATATGTGCCTTTGGAAAAATTGCATTAAAAACATAGACATCTGGGAAAACTAAACCCAGAAAAAGATATGGTAAGGATTGTTGACATACAAAAGTATATGTAAGAATATCGAATCATGCAGATGTCTTAATGAAGTAAATGTATGAATCTTTCCATGTTATTCCTACATCCACTGGCACTGCTGTTCCTTTAGTAGAATAACACGCACACATTCTGCTGCACTCATTCAGAATTTTCCATCACCAGGAACTCTTGACAAGAATTTGTTGGTTGAGAAACATCGACTTGTCTGCCACAGCCACAGAATCTCTGCACATCACAAATACTCACCCTGTGGAATGGCCCACACTCATCTTACCAGGCATGGTGGTTAGGTCTGCTGACCTTTTCAGTTGCTCTATAGAAAGCAATCTGAGTATGAAAAAATGTTGTATTATCAAGTCTTCACTGTGTGTTTGTTGAACCTTTAAATGTTATATTAACTCATAAATAAAATAACTTCTCTTCCTTATTGATGTTGTTTATTATTTATTTAGCATATGGCATATTATACATGGACTAACAATATATATCAACATTTCATCTAGATTAGTAGAACCAATAAAATACAAATGTTAAAAAGATCTATGTTCAAATACTATCTAACCATTGAAGAGCAACATCATTTATATATTGATGTTGTATTGACTTAAGATGAGTGATATATTATGGTGAGGATGGGAAAGTGATGAAAGGGAAGTAAGTCATGAAGAAGAGATAGAAGACAAGTCCAGCTAATAGCTGATTTTACAAAAGACAATTCAGTCCAGGTGGCAAGAAAATGGAAGGAAGCATTTAAAATCATTTTAGGAGACTCCATCTTAATTAACCCACTATAGATAAGGATGAGAAATTCCTCTTGCAGTTTCCAAAACTACCATTAAAGAGACCTCACTGATGTCTGTCCAGTTTTTGTTTCCCTGATTTTGATCAGCTGTGTGAGATTTGACTTCAGGGCACTAAGTCTAGAATCCCAAGGGTTCATACAATTCTTAAAAAGTTTTCAACAAGGCCTCAAGAACTGTGCATTCTCTAAAGTTGCCTTAAAATTGTAATTTCTAATACATTGATATCATTGAAAGTGTAAACCAGCGGCATCAGACTTAATTTCATCGAGGGGCGCCGGGGTGGGCATGGCCAGCATGACGTCACTTATTGAGGCTCCATTTTCGGCCATGACAGCCTCCTGCAGCTCCCTGCCAGCAAAAACGGAGCTCGGGAGAGCCACATGTGGCCCTCCCAGGTTCCATTTTTGGCCATTACAGCCCCCCTAAGCTCCAATTTTGCTGGTAGCAGGCCATTGCACTGAAAATGGAGCCCTGGAGGGCTGCATGTGGCCCTGCCGAGCTCCATTTTCACTGGCAGAGGCACCATGGGCCAGTCCTTCGCTGTTTCCCACAGGCCAGATCTAAGCACCCCTCAGGCTGGATCTGGTCTGCGGGCCTTGAGTTTGACACACCTGGTGTAAACTATTGAATATGTGCAACTATGGTCAGAAATGGTATTTAATTAATTTCATTTTAATCATGTAAAATAAAGGGCAAGCATGGCTTTCAGCCCCCAAAACATTGGGCAGTCGAAGTGTAATAATAATATTTCAACTTCCCAACAAAGTTTAAGTTGTGGAAGACAAGCTAATGTTAGGAAAATTGATTTTTTCCTTACATATTATATTGATGGAGGAATCTACCAAATGTCTGCTCTAGTTTTCATAATAGCTTAGCTGGAGAACTTAAGAAAGTACCATTTTAATTTCACACATTGAGGATACTAATATTTCTTCCCCATTGAGGGCATAGCCTTCTCAATACAGACATTATGTTAAGGAATAAAAGTCATACTATGTAACAAATTTGTATACTAATGACTACTTTGATGTCCTAATTACTAGTATATGTAATTACTATTCATATATTAATAGACCCAGACTCTTCATCACAGGAGGTAAGAAGTACTTTATTTTCTTTTAAAAAGAAAAGCAATATTACTTTTCTCACTACTTAGTTACCTCACTAAATTAACCTCAGTCTGAAGTGCCAAAAGAATTGGAAGACTTTGCATATAATATCCAGAAATAGAGCAGACCTGATTTAAATAGTTTCCCCTCCAGGACTCCTAAAATTTATTTAATCAGAAGGATTTTCACTTCTCCTCATCAGGAGAGTTGGATATAAACACTACTGCAGTGATGAAAAGTCAGTAATTCACTTCCCCTAGTCAGTTCTCCATTCTGTACATTCACTTATTAAATTAAATTCCAGCTGTTGCCTGCTATTCATTCAGTTGTTCACTCACACATTTTCCCTTTCCCTTTCCTTTCTCCCTTTCATTTTTTTACGTATACATTTTACATTGATTTCAAACAATTAACAATTCTTATATTTCATGTTAAAAAGGATATAAAATCTGTATTGGTAAGAATGATAAAATAAACTAAATAGAAAAACATCAAATGGGAAACTAGAATAGGAAGTATAATTTAGAATATTATAAGCTATAGATCCCTTGATTTATATTTAATGACAGCTTCTATGAATATTAAAATTGCAGAAAGAGTGTTCTTCAAGAATAAAGAATCAAATGAAAAAAAAGAAGCAACGTTAGGTTAATGTTCTTTTCAATAAAGTAATACAGACGATTAACTCTCAAGCACAGTTGTCTTCTTTGGGAGATGGATAAAAGATTATAAAATGACAGATGGCTTGATGCAAAGTTAAAATTATTGTGTGATGATGAAGATCACCATCATAATAATAGAATACTGATCATTTCTGTCCCCAAAGACTGTTATTAGAAAAAAAAACTTCAATAGTGTGAATAGAAAATGCACATTCCTATAAATATTTGCAAAACCCGTCTTGTATATGGCCTGTTTCTTACAGGAGGTCAGATTTTTAAAGCCAGGATTTAATGCTGCTAGAAGAGACTAGTGAGTGTATCTTTATTATTTTATTTACTATAAAGGCAATGACTCTGTACTGGAACTCTGTAAGGGTGAGGAATGGGGGTTGGATTTTTTTTTTGTCTTTTCAATAGAACAGGTGTGGCCATGTTTCACATTTGGAAAGCATATTGTCACAACTCTCAAAATATTGGTGGCATTGTGGGAGCTTGGCTGTTCTACAAAGGCCTGTAGTAGTAGGTGGGACAAATAATCAAACACCCACTTGGATATTCTCAGATGTACTTCAATATAAAATGTAAGACAAGCCAGCATCTTCCCCACTCTTCTAGTCCTTTCCCCAATATACTAGCTAATGTTACCATTGTCAGCATCCCACCTTCCCAAAACTAGAGGCTACATTTTTAATCAGGCCAATGGGATCTGTTTATATGCCGAATCATTCAAATAATGGTGTTATTTGAAGTATGTCACATTTCTTTTTTTTTTTCAAGAAGGATAGGGAATCTTCCAAGAGTCAAGGAAATATCACACTATTGTGTTACCTATCTCATAGAGTAGTGTTTCTCAATTTTGGCAACTTTAAGGTATAGGGACTTCAACCCCTAGGATTCTCCAGCCAGAATTCTGTGAATTGAAGGCCACACATCTTTATGTTGCTAAGGTTACTAAGTTATTACCACTGAGATACAGACAAACACACCTATACTCATATATGCCAACCTTCCCTCCCTCCCTTCCTATTTTTAAACCATCCATCTCAATAGAGTGGCTCTGGGCGGTTTACAAAATATATCTACAAAATATGTGTGGGATGTCTCCGGAGTTGGCAGGAAGTGGGAAATGACAAAATCTACAAATTTTGTTCCTTTTCTGTCATCATGTAAGGAGTACACGATGGCATTACAATGAATCTTTCACTATTTTGGCAAAACTCTAGCTACACATAGCCTTTACTGGAAATCAGAAGGGTAAAACAGGGATATATTTTTCTCCTTTTGCATTCAACATGTACAGAAGAAGCAGTATCTAGAAGTGATTTAATGAAATTAAAATTATCCAGTGGTTTTCCAACTGTAAGTGACAAACACAATCACAGGATTATGAGCCAATGAAACAGTCAACAGTTACAATGTACAATAGCAAACAATAATTTCAAAATAAATTGAATGAGTTAGTAAAAGCAAAACAAATCATTTGTGATCACTTCAGTCTCACAGCAGTTTGATACAAATAAGTGTTTATTGAGCTACACTTCAAATACATTTATTGGTTTAAGTCTGGTTGAGTGGATACACATTACCACTAATATGCACCATTACGTCCTCTTATCAATGTTGGTCAGTGGAGCATCCCACATCATCTGTGCTGTATAACTCAACCCTCCAACCTTATAGCCTTATAGCTGCTGCTGCTGCTGCTGCTACAGAGTGGCACTGTGTTTTCTGATGATTGGGAGATTTGTAGAGGTGGGTATGTACAGCAGTCATTCCAAAGATAGCGAGGTACATCCCAAGAACCGAAATAGTTTGTTGGCTCTCCTTGCTCAGGTAAACAGTAATTTTGCTTTTTTACAAAAGCAACAACTATTCAGAGGCTCCTTGAGTTCCTTCAATATTAGATGAGAATATTTGATACTCTTTCATTCACTTCCATCCTTCCTCACAACTTGTGAGTTGTTTAAAACAGGATTTTATTTTAATGCTTGTTAAAAAGATAACCAATGTTTTATCACTTAATTTGTGGTAGTTTCAGATAAAGATAAAATGTATCTCTTACTTCCTTTCTTGATCCCCCTGGAAAAGCTCTAGAAAAAGTATGTGTTTCAGGGCCTGATATATACTATTCCTTGTTGTAGCTGAGTCCATATCCTGGACACTTTTGATTGAGAATGGATTGATTTTGTGCTATCAAGCTGTTGCCTCTGAAATGGAATCCATCCACCTTGCTTGTGGTCTTTTTTCCTTCTCTTTCCTTCCACCACCATTACAGGCTTCTCTAGAGAGCTAGGTCTTCATGTAATATGTCCAAAAGCCTGGTAATTTGACATGGTCATTTGTGCTTCTAGTGAAAACTCTTGATTGGTTTGATGATTCAGTAGTTCGTTTTCTGGCCTGTCTATGATATTCTCAGGTGCTTTTTTTTGAAAGTTTTTGTTCTTGGAATAACTTGCCAAATATTATATTAAGTCATTTCCAAGACTAATCACTTTCTGTAGGGGCTCTGGAAATTGGATCTCTAGTATAAACAATAGTTGCATTTTCCTGCAACCTGTTTGTATGCTACTTTACATATAATACTCCCAGCAGAGTCAGGACCAGTAGTTGTTAATACTCTGGATCATGTTCTTCCATCTCTTCATCTTCTCACCAACACTCCAAATAACTCCCCCACTTTAATCCCATATAGTGCTGCCATAATAAGAGTTGTTTTAGATAAGGCCAAATTTAATCCGGCATTATTTTCTTAGAGGTTAATTGGGTGCGTACAGAAGGCCAACAAGCAAGAATCATAGAGTTGGAAGGGGACCTTTAAGCCATTAAATCCTGCTATGACTCCATGTAAGAATCCACATTAACTTTCAAGTCAGATGCTCCCTGCTTGAACTCATTCAGTGAAAGAGAACCTCCAATAATTAGTTTCATTGTGAAAATGTTCTTATATTGAGAAAGTATATTTTTAATCATATGTTGTTTCCAATTTTCTAACATAATTTCTAATAGAGATATAACAATACAATCTTATGTACCTTTGCAGAATCACTTTTTCAGTTAAATTTTTACCCATTATCTCTAAGTAAGTCCTGTTTCTTTACATCTTGCTCCACACCTTTGTAGCTTCTCTTCCCTTCCTTCATTGCTTCCCTTGCTTCTTCTCTCTGCCCTTTTTACCCCCTTGTCTCTCCACCTCCATTTCCCTCTTCTGTGTTCCCTTTTTCTGTTGCTTTCTAACATTATATCCACTTTTCATCTTATTTTTCCCTTTTTGGTTGGTTTTTTGGATCTTAAAGTCTCCATTCTCTTTCCCGCCCCTTTCCCCCTTCTTCCCTAAGTAAAGTTACTTGTTCGTCAAAGATGGCTTTTTCTTTGTCCCAATCTTCTTGTTGCGCAGTCTTTTCTTGTAGTTTCTCATAGGTACAAATCGCCATTTCTAAGAATTGAAAAACGGAGCCAAGAGAGCCCTTCCCTTCTTGTTCTTCTTCTTTATATATTTTAAATTCCATTTTCAGTTCATCCACAAGTGATGCCATTGTAAAAAAAATTTCAAACAACCACCCAAGTGTTTTTAGTCATTCAAATATAATTTCCAAAAATCCCAAAATCACCAAGCAATCAAAACACACACAAGCTGTTTCTTTTAACACTTTCTTCTTTTTTCACTTTCTCTTCCTGGGGTTACTATTTAGTTACAAAGTTCCAGTTAAAATGTATCTTTTAGAAGTCTTGTTAGAATTTAATCAGATTCTTTTAAATTCCAGGCAGTCTCCTCCTTCCAAATCCTACTCTTATTTTTTTTTCCCTCTCCCTTCCCACTTACAGCAAAAAAAATTATTTTTTTTAAAATGTTCAGAAATCCTTATTGTCCCCTTGACATTTAATTATCCAGTTTAATTACCTCTTGATGCCAAAGCGGGTTTTTCCAATTTCTCATTCATCTCAGTTCGCTGTCAACGTAAGGAAGGAGAGTGAACAAAAAAATCTTTCCTTTTTCACTTTCATTCGCTGCTTCTGAATTTTCTTTGGGGGCGATGTATCTTTTTAAAAATTTAAATTCCAGGATACCTTGGTTGTTGCTTCTTATCCTGGTCAGCCAAAACTTTCACTTCTTAACTTCCTCCTGCACTTTCTTTTCTAGCTGGGTGCTTCTTTGAGGCGGCCATTTCTGACCGCTGCTCTTACTGCCTTTGGGAAAGGGAGTTTAGCCAGCTGGGGAGGATGCGGCTTTCCACGACCCTGCTGGGATCTCCCCTCTCTTCGCCACCTCTATGGGGTGGCTTAGCCCCGAAGCCAGACTGGCTCGGGATGCTCCAGCGGCAAGCCCAGGCAGAAACCACACACGATCGCGGATTCCTGCCTGCCGCCGAAGCCCTGCAAACCAGAAGTCCATCCATTGTTTCTTGTCTTATCCTCAGATGCTTTGGAGAATAGCTTGACTCCCTCTTCTTTGTGGCAGCCCCTGAGATATTGGAACACATCTGTTGGGTCACCTCTAGTCTTTCTTTTCATTAAACTAGACATACCCAATTCCAACATTTGGAACAGATATTTATGTTTGATACAACCTAAAATTAAGATTAATCAATATGGATACAAGCTTAATAAGGCTGCACTTAGTTTTGGCTTTATGAAGAAATGTTGTCCATAGAGTCCTTACCCAGCTGGACAGATGCACTTCTATTAGGCTCCACAAGTCTTTAAAAAGAAAAATGGGGGAATTCCTGCACTTGAATCAATAAAGCAGCTGCTCACTTGTGGTCTCACTTGTGTCTGCCTGCACAGCCATTTTGTGTCACATATGTGTGCCACCACAGATGTTTTGCTAAGTTCACACATGCAGCTACAGGTCACAGCAGCTTCTGAAGCATTCATATGCACCTGGAAAAATATGTGGCTGTTTTAATAATTTATGCAGAAATGTTTTGTACATGTTGTAGCACTATTTTCAAAACGTTTGTTCAATCCTGGTGTTTTAAATGGAAAATGATTGTTCAATCAATCAAATGTTAAACCTTTAGGAAAGCAATGCATTCTAACAGAAACAAAACCAAAATCACAAAGATATCTCTGCATACTGTTATATACTACGGGACAAAAGATTTGTAGACATCATGTCCGGCCTGAGAACAGAAATCTGCCTGCCATGTCCTGTGATTAAGAATCAATGGACAAAGTCAAAATGAAGGAAAACAGATCTATACATAGGTGACTTTATTCAGTCCCTGAGCTCTGCCAGATGCCAACAAATCCATTACTAAGAATGCATTTTGCACTAGAAGAGTCTCACAGCTATAGTTACAGGTTTAATAGAAGGAGCTCTGCTTGACGAGAAGGAAAATTCTACCTCCTGGGTATGATTTCCAGGGAAGGCGGACTGTCCCCAAGTGTAAAGTAAATTGCTGAGAACAAGGAACCCAAATTACTAAAATTGCACATTTCCCCACTCCCCCTTACTTTTTATGCTGGGCAATCAGATGGCTAACTCAATCCCTTCCTTTCTCCTGAGTCTAAATATTTACCTTTAGTCAACTGGGAGGCCTTTCTTATTTCCCATTCCCCTCTGCAAGACATTTTTCTCATTTTGAGATGATCCCATTTTATATTGGGGAGGTGCGACAGGCCTAAATGGGAAACCTGGGGGATCTATTGAATGAAGCCCATAACACTCCTTACGAAAAGCAACCACTCCATTGGTATCTCTGAGGATGGAGCAGCTCTATAGTCTCCACCTTTTTTGTAATTTTAATCCATTGACAGTACCTGCATTTGCTTTCTTTAAGTGAGGTAGGCTGCTTGTGGATAAAATAAAGAAAAGGAGAGGATAAAAATGGAGTAAATCAGAAAAAGGAAAGGAAAGGAAAGGAAAGGAAAGGAAAGGAAAGGAAAGGAAAGGAAGGTTGGTTGCAGGGGCAAAATTGCCTTCCAACATACACACTACACACTCAGGATCACACTAGATACATATAAATGCTACAAACTACTTATCTTACTTTTTTTTTTTAATTAAGGATAAGCAGTACTCAGGATGTCATACAAGTTAAGATGTGTTAAATTTTACTTTTGCATATAGCATAGAATTGAAGCAAACAAACAAATCAGTGATGGAATTCAATTTTTTTTACTACCGGTTCTGTGGGTAGGGCATGGCAGGGGAAGGATACTGTAAAATCTCCCATCAGAGGTGGTATTTGCCGGTTCTCTGAACTACTCAAAATTTCCCCTACCAGTTCTCTAGAACTGGTCAGAACCTGCTGAATACCACCTCTGAAACACATGTATTTTATGTCCCACAAGGCAAGAGAGTTGGTGGCATGCTATTTATATAAATATTCCAACAGATCAAACCTAGAATTGGAGAAGCATCCACATGTAAATATGGGTAAATACTTTAAATATATGTAAAGATCTTTGTCCTTCATTAAGGCCTATATCTGCCATGCTTTCATTTATTGTTCTCTTTTTAAATGTTATCATATTGGATTTTTGTATGTGTTGGTTTTGGATTTTTAATGTTGACTATATGGTAGAATTTTTAATATTTGTATCACAGGGTTATAGGATCATACAAAAGAAAATATCACTTGAAGAAGGAGTATTTGTTTCAGGACATAAGGATCAAGGTTTCAAGTCATGATGGCCTTAAAAAGGACACCCTTCATCACTTTAAAAATATAAGATATGCAAATGCAGATATTGAAGGTAACCTTAAATTTTAAAATCTTAAAATACTTTTGAAAATAATTACTAAATAAATAAATATGAGTATTCCTATCTATCTATCTATCTATCTATCTATCTATCTATCTATCTATCTATCTATCTATCTATCTACCCTGTTTCTCCAACAATACGGCCTCCCCCAATAGGAAGTCCCAGCATGTTTTATAGGCATGAAATGAAATTAAGCCCCTCCCCCCAAATTCAGGCCTATATTAAAACATGCGAAATGGGGGGGAAATGGTGGGGGGTGGGGCTTGCTGTTAGGAAGTACTTTTGTTGCACACCCGGATATGGTGCTGCCTGCATTGACCCTGATACAAAGTGCCCCACCAACGCCAAGGTCAACATCCAAGCTGTCGCCGCCCACCCTAAGATGCAGGGGGGGGGGAAATTAAGTCACCCCTGAAAAGACAGCCTAGCCGTTGTTTCGGGGCTCAAAAAAAAAAAAAAAGACCCAGCCTTATTATATGAGAAACATGCTATCTATCTATCTATCTATCTATCTATCTATCTATCTATCTATCTATCTATCTATCTATCTATCCATCCATCTGGTGTTTGAGGGCATTCCCTCTGCCTTGTTAACCCTTTAGCCTTCTGGATTGTTTAACTTTGATTTTCACTTTTCACTTGTAAATTTTAAATTTGTTTTAATTTTATAACTATGCTTTTAGTCATGGATCATATTGTTTTATATTGCTTGTAAACAGTTTAAATGGATTGTGTAGAAATTTGATGAATAAATAAAATGGATACATATACATATATTTAGCAACTATTTCTCCATGTATTATTAAGCTATAATCATTATTGCCTAAATACGATATGTTTTTATTGATTAACTTGTCATATTAGTGGTATATAAATAAATAAGATGCTACTAATCTTATATAAAGGAATGAACAAACAATTACAATAAGGCTGACTGAGATGGCCATTTCTATCATGTGGTCACATTCTCTAGAAATCTAATAAGAATCTCTAAAAGTTTACTATTGTTATCAATTATTAATCTTTCATGAATAAGACTTGGCTTAGTTTATTGTTTTTGCCTTAGGATGGCCACATGTTAAAAGAAAAGTGTCATCCTTAGTTGTTTAGAGCCATTTGTTGAGGTGGGGGTCATATAAACTGAATGAATGAATAAATAAAACAATTGGTCACACTGAATCACATGTAAATCAATTGCATACTAAAAATTGGATTAAAGAGACTCTTAGTATATTGATAAAAGGATAGATAGATGTTAGTATATTGATAAAAGGATAGATGCCGGGAGTACATTAACCACATCCTTTCTTCTCTCATGAAAAATTTGATTTACCACCAGCAGTGATCCTGAAAAAGGAGAAAAACCCACCAAACCTTCGTTTCCAGATGCATTTTTGCAACTGTTGCCCATGCACAATTGGGCATCAGACATATAAACAAGAGAGACAAAGAAGGTGATTTCCAATAAGAACATTAACCTTACTGTGGAGTCTTTCAAACAATGAAAATTTCCCCCCTGATTCCCATGACTAGGACTAACATTGCCAATGGGTCGGTCTTTTCTTGACCTTCTTTGCTGATGGATTTTGAGGAAAGTCACTGGTTCATGTGGGTTTTCTTGAGCCACACACTACTATTTATTTGCCAGTTTGTTTGAATTACAGTATACATTCTTAAATGCTGCGTTTGAAGATATAAGAACTACATATGTTTTTTATCATCATGCTATGTACTGCAGATATGAAATGGATATTTCATACTGATATTATGGAAGTTTTTTTTAATCACAGCATTGTATCTCACACATACATCCTCTCTCCAAAGCATAGAATTTTCTCCTTTGTTAATTTGATTATATTCTGCCTTTCCACTCTGTGGGAATACACAAAATAGCTAACAATAATGAAGGAATTGTTACTTGAGTGCTACTACATTATGAAATTTAAAAAGTTGCTGAAGGGGGAAAAAAAGGCTCAAGGGACAATTAAGGTATAGGGACCTTCCACAAAAAATTCCTCTGGTTTGTTCTAATTTAGGAGTGTCAAACTCAAGGTCGGGAGGCTGGACCTGGCCTGTGGGGCACCCTGGAAATGATGAAGGACCACCCCCTTGGTGCCTCTGCAAGTGAAAACGGAGCTCGGGACGGCCACCCATGGTCTTCCCGAGCTCCTTTTTCACAGGCAGAGGATTACAGGAGGCCATTGCAGCCAAAAACAGAGCTCAGGAACCCATTTTCACTGGCAGAGCACTCAGGCCACCCCAGGCACCCCCGACATGAGTGATGTCGAGCTGACCATGCCCACCCTGGCCACTCCCACCCTGGCCCCCTGATATCAAACACAACCCTAATGCAGCCTCAGTAAAATCCCTGACACCCCATGTTCTAATTAATTAGATGAGTACAACAAAAATCTCTGAAAACGGAAGTTTCTTTCATCAGTAGGTTCCCTTGTTGCAGCTGAGCTGGACTCTCATTTTCTTTGTGTCACTTCAACTCCTGAAAAACCTTCTTGCTCACTCTTCAATCTCAAGCAAAGCTCTCTGAGTGCTTCTCTGTTTGGAAGTGGAAAATTCCTACCTAGCAGAATATAAGACTGAAGCAACAATTATGATCAATAATTGTAATTGATCCTTTGATCAGTGACCTGGCTTTAAAACTCAGTTGTGACAAAGAAGTCTTCCTTGGTGAATTTCTCATAAACCTACCTGGTCTATTCATCTCTGCATAATATATGGATCTCACAGTAAATATCAATTACTTATATCTCAAAAGGCAGTGATGCAGATATTTACCAATGTGCATGGTAAGCTAGTAAATAATAGGAACTCTTAATTACATAGTTTGACAAAAAAATCAATATCATTTGGTTATTGGATACCATCACCTGTTCCTTTTCTACCTAGTTTCTCATTAGTTCTGTGTCTTCTCTGCCAATTATGAATGCTTTGGCCTCATTTTTTCTTCCAGACCTATTGGTTGGCTTCTATAGTCTTCCGCCTCCTCCTTTGAAATCTCTTGCCTGTCTCTTCTTTCCCTTGGCTTCTTCAGTT